CACGATGGTAGCCTGGTGCTGAGCCCTGCTTATGTCCTTGGTGTTAAGCTGATCAGCGGCTTTGTGATCAAGAGGGAATTTTCCTGCAGGGCAGACGGGAAGGGGCAGTTGTTGGCTGAGGTCTTCCTTACTTGTGATGCTTCTGAGAATTTTCCTTGCTTTTGAAGTGAGTGAGATGGTAACGATGTTTTCTGCCCCTCTCCTGCTGTTTTCTTTTGACGTGTTGCAGTTGTGGGTCTGTCTTTGTTAGCCCTTACGTTTATGAGGTGTTCTCATGCTGCACCTGTATGTTATACAAAGAGCTCCCAAAATTTCTGAGACCATGAGTGTTGCCTGGTCCCAGGAGTATCATACCTTGGAAACCCTTAAAAGGAGGACCCCCCATTTTGTCGTTATTTGGTTGTCCTTCTCGCAGGTGATCAGACATGTCTCCTGGCATCATGCCATTCTGAAGGATCCCCTGTCTGTCTTAGTTTGGCTCTTAATTTAGGTACTGCAAGTTGGAGGTCGTTTTCCCTAGAACTTCTGTAGTCCGTGGAGGGAGATGTGCAACAGGAACTATTGCAGGGATGCCAGGTTGCTTTCTGTGGAGGGTTATTTTCTCTTCTGACCATTCAGGACCTCCTAGGCATCTTGCAGCCTCTGAAGGTACTGGGTACAAATACCTCATTCCTTCCTTATCTGTTTCCCAGTGTTTAATGACTGATTTTGCAGCGCTGTTTTAATGCTGCTGACTTCACATGCAGAACCAGAGAGCAATTGTGATTTAGTAGGTTAGTTTTATGGCTGGGAGACAAAAATGTTTATTGTAACTCAGTGACACTAACATATATTTTTAGAATATGAAATAAAAATAGGTGTTTCCAATAGAAACAGTGGGCACTAACATAGAAATAACGAGTGATACATGCCACAGGAAAGGTATTGTTTTCAGCATGTGTGGATGTACTAGCAGGTGTTTTTCCTGTGTTTCAAGCTACACTAGCTTGCACCATTACCAGAATTCAATGAGCAGCCTTTTTAACATGGCTTTTTTTCTGTTAGCGCATTATCCACTTGTAGCTGTTCAATATTTAATTTATAAGTCAAGTGTGTGGGGTTTTTTGGTTTGTTTGTGTTGGGGTGGGTTTTTTGGTTTTTGTTTTTGTTTGTTTTTTTAAAAATGAGGTTTCTTTTGTAAGTTGGTCTGCAGGGGTGGTTAGAACCTCGTCTCAAAATTTACCCAGTGGAAACTAAAAGTTGCTAGTCTCTAGCAGCTGTTACATACATAGTCTGCATTTCTGGCTGTCAATATCCTAGCAGGTAATTGTTTCTGTCAAGATCCATCACCCTGGGCAGTGATTGACACATTTGCTGACAGTTTCCACAGAGAGGTCAGGGATGGAGCAGGGATGGAGCAGGGGCTGTCCGCAGGGGTGTACCGGTAGAGAGGGTTGAGCTTCGCTGAGAAGGCAGCCTGGGGAGTCTACCACTGTGGCAGACTGAGTGTTTCCTTGTTATGTGGACAGAGCACTTCAGTCTCCAGTCTTGTCAAGCTGTCACCTTTCATCAGCCATAAGTCTGCTTGCTAAATAAATGAAAAAGGTAATAAAACATTTTTATTAGTCATGACAAATGCTTGTCTTAGGAGAAATTGAGAAAATAATGACTTGATTTAAATATTTATTAAATCAAGTAATTTTTGAGGCATCTTTAAGACCTGAAGGTATTTTATGATATGATAAAACAATTGCATAATTCATGTTATATATTACACCAGTGGTGCAGCATTGCTCAGAAGAAATAAAACCATTCTCACTTCAATGTTTTTAATTTTAAGCTAGCCTGGCATTGCATGTTAACAGCTTTTTTGTCCAATTTATCAGTCTGTTCTCTCTCGTCAATGCCATCTGCTTGCTTGTTTTACCACCTCTTTAACAACCAGGTGACTTTTGCCATCTTCACCCTCCTCCTCAATATGCCCAGCAGTCCCATTTGGGTTTATGGGGTTAGTGTGCTAAGCAATATTCATATGTTTATGTAAATGTGTTCCCTATTCTAAAGAACCTTTCCCCATTTCTAGTTCAATAGCTTCTAAGTCTTCCAGCATCCTGGCTTATAGCACTGAATTATTTTACTGTAGTCTAATCTGCTTGTTATGCCAGCTGGTTTTGTTGATCTGTAATGTATTCCTTTATGTAATAGGTTCTACTCTAGCAAAGCACTTAAAATTAAGTGTGCAGGTAGACTTGGTGAAAAGAATGTGATTAGCTCAAAGCTAAGCACCTGCCTAAATGCTTTGCTGGATTGGAGGCTTAGGAAAGAGAGGAAAAGATTGGTCTAATTATGTTGAATGTGTTTTAGAGCTGCTTTATCCTAATAGCCTTATCACCAGACCAACCTCTGGTTATGGATACTCAATGCAGAAGATTTCTCACAGCTTGCTAGGCTTTTCTTTTCACTTCATAGTTTTCTAGATCTCTCTCCTGGCTCTTCTGAACTATAATCTTAAGCATGATTTGCATGAGAAAATGTATCTCTGCCTCTTAGGAAGTGACTTCAGGGAAGCCATGTCTTAAAATACTGGATGTAGAAGGCAATGAAAAGCTGGTGTCACCAGTTTGTTTGATTTTCGCATGTGTGAGGAGAGCAAAATATTTATACAAATCCAGACTGCAGTAGCCCACAGAATAAATGTGACAGCGAGACCAGATTGTTGAAAAAGGAGGAAAAAGATAAAATGAATGACACAAGGATTAAATTCTGCTCTGCTATTAATTTGGGCTGAGCCAGTATTAGAATTATTGGGAAAAAAAAGAAGGATGTAAACCACTGAAATTGAAATCTGAAGAAAATATGTACATGTATTTTTCCAGTTCTAGCTCTTACCTGCTGCTATTTGTCTTTTTCCATTCCTCAAATCTGGATGCCAGATGCCAGAGGGATTTGCAGGACTTAGTTTAACTCATGGTCACTGCAAAACTACCCTAAATCCAATGTTACAAGAATTGCTGCTACTGCTTTCCCAAGTCAGAACTTAGCTGACTGGGTTTTTGCTTTTCCCACTGCTGCATGGCCAGGGCGTAAGGCATTGCCAAGACCAGAAAGCCATGCACAACCCCAGGTGTTTTCAAGGAAAGGGTCATTTGAGTTGTCTTTGCACGTCCTTCTTCTGCAGTGTTTAGCCTGGATGTGTTGTTGTTTCTAAGCCGTAACAAGCTCCTCATGGAATTCACACTGTGCAGGTTCCTGTGTGTTATTTTTCAGAGGCAAGGCTGTACTATGGTTTTCTTTCCCCTTTGTTCCTCCCTACATGAGTTTTTGGCATCTTCATCAAGGATGGTACTTGAGCAAATGCTTAACTTGATTGCGCTGCCTAGACTCGAAGATAGAAATGGGCTTAGGCACTCTTGAAAAAGTATGAACTGAGGCAGATGTTTAATGCTTTCTAAGATACAAACCAAGTAAGTGCTTTCTCAGAAAGATTATTCATAATTGTTTTTTACTACATATATCATGATAGGGAGAAGGAGGAAAAAAGGAGGAAATAGCCGCATAGCAGTAGATTTCTAACAGCTTCTCATGTTTGTGGTTACTTGTCACCACGGTGTTTTTAGCTGAATGCAGCCTTATACATAGGGCAGTACAGAGTACCAGGCTTTTGCCTTCCTCCTTCTTTTTAACGGGCGTGGGGCAGACAGTAGCGGCTAGTGAGCAGCTCCTGGCTCTGTGCACAGCTATGTCCTGCCTTGCTATGAGCCTTTGTTCACTTTGCCTCTCTTTGTCTCTCTTTCCTTCTGTGTCTGTTTAAATTAGAAAGGCTAAAAAGGTGGGGACTGGCTCCTGCTCTGTGTTTGATCCTGCCTGCCAAACCTGGAGGACTTGCTGCCCACTGGCATGTCAAAATGTTTTTGTAATACAAAAAAATTATTAAGAAACTTCTATTTTGCCACCTAATCATCTGCACCTTGAGATTCTCAGTGTATTTGAGACTGACTGACCACTCCACCATCAGTATGAATAAAGCCTGAGAGGTCTGAGGATGCTTTCAGGTTCTCTGTGTTTGACATTCATAGAATCATAGAATCATTAAGGTTGGAAAAGACCTCTAAGATCATCGAGTCCAACCGTCAACCCAACACCACCATGCCCACTAAACCATGTCCCTAAGCACCGCATCTACACGTCTTTTAAATACTTCCAGGGATGGGGACTCAACCACTTCCCTGGGCAGCCTGTTCCAATGTTTAACCACTCTTTCAGTAAAGAAATTTTTCCTCATAGAATCATAGAATCATTGAGGTTGGAAAAGACCTCTAAGATCATCGAGTCCAACCATCGACCCAACACCACCATGCCCACTAAACCATGTCCCTAAGCACCGCATCTACACGTCTTTTAAATACTTCCAGGGATGGGGACTCAACCACTTCCCTGGGCAGCCTGTTCCAATGTTTAACCACTCTTTCAGTAAAGAAATTTTTCCTCATGTCCAATCTAAACCTCCCCTGGCACAACTTGAGGCCATTTCCTCTTGTCCTATCACTAGTTACTTGGGAGAAGAGACCGACACCCACCTCGCTACAACCTCCTTTCAGGTAGTTGTAGAGCACGATGAGGTCTCCCCTCAGCCTCCTTTTCTCCAGGCTATTGACATTCTCCAGGCTCTCAGACACTGATGGTCTTCAGTGAAGGCTCAGGTGCCAGAGACTTGGGCCTACCCTGTGGACGCTGTTGAAAGGTCCCTGAAGTGTCTCAAGGCAAAAATTCAGATAGAAGCATGCAGTTCCAGGGCAGCATTGGAAACACTGGCTTGATGTCCCTACAGCTTTCGTGCAACATGGGCGCTCTTCCATTTGCCTGCCAGTGCAGGGTTTGCATTGGTTTTGATAGTATATGAGAATGCAAGTGGATTGAGGCATTGGTCTTAGTTTGCACATACTGTGAGCTATGTTCTCAGCTGTGAGGCTATATGCATAATGCTTTCTGCCTGACATTAGTTTTCTGTTTGTCTTTTCCAGCACTTCTACAGGCAGTCATAGCTGGTGATCTGCTGAAGGTAAGTACAGAGCACTGAGTGTACACTTTTTCACAGCTTTTTGCAGGTCTGATATTCTGTAAATTTTATCACACCTCTGCTCAAAACATAAATAGACTGCTGTAGGGACTGCTGGCAAGTGCCATTTTACAGCCTTTCCAGGAAACCCTGAATATTAGGGGAACATATCAATCAGGTGAGATGTGAAATTCGAGTGAATAGGATCTGGTGTTAGACAGCACCTTTCAGCCCAGGATTCATAGCGCGCTGCACAGAGCAATGTGTCAGTTACTAACAGGGAAATTACTATACTGGCAAATGCAACACTGAACAGCAGGGTAGTTCTGACACAGCCTTACACAGTAAAGGATATTTTATGGCAGTGAGGTTGGTGGCCAAGCCCCTAGAGTTGCTAAAGACTTCTTAACTTCTACCTAGGCAACCACCAGACCAGGTAGAACAAACCTCAGCTTGTTTTATCATCTGATGGATGTCTCAAAACATGTAGTGTCTTGGTATTGTTAGTTATTGGGAGGAAAAGGCACCAATGTTTTGTGCCCAAAGTCTGAAGTTCCATGTCTGACAGTTATTCAGGCTGTGTTTTTCAGTAGCCAAGTTAGGATTTGAAAACACGCCCTTGAATTTGGGTGAGGACTGTGATTAATGATTGCAATTTTATCTGCGAGAAGCCAAGCTTGGAGCCATTTTAAAAATGGCAGTACTGTTAGGCCAACTCTTTGCCTGCATGTGCCCCTTCTATACCTCCACCCCTGTGCTTGTGGCTGCAGCATCTAGGGAGCAGCCCTTCAAGCAGCAGTCATAAAAATATTGTCCCCTTTCAGCTTCTTGAAAACTTTTTGCCTGAGTTTGCTTTGACAGGGAAACTTCTTGCCTTCTTCACATGTACTGCATCATAAATGATGCTGTCGTGGTTTAACCTCAGTCGGCAACTGAGCACCACACAGCTGCTCACTCACTCCCCCTTGCCTCCAGTGGGATGGGGGAGAGAATCTGAAGAGCAAAAGTGAGAAAACTTATGAGTTGAGATAAAAACAGTTTAATAATTGAAATAAAATAAAATCCTAATAATAATAATAGTAATAATAATAAGAAGAATATACAAAACAAGTGATGCACAATGCAATTGCTCACCACCTGCCGACCGATGCCCAGCCAGTCCCTGAGCAGCAGCCCCCCGCCAGCTTTCCCCAGTTTATGTACTGAGCATGACATCACATGGTATGGAATGTCCATTTGGCCAGTTTGGCTGTGCCCCCTCCCAGCTTCTTGTGCACCTCCAGCCTTCTCAGTTGGTAGAGCATGGGAAGCTGCAAAATCCTTGACGAATATAAGCACTGCTTAGCCACAACTAAAACATCGGTGTGTTATCAACTTTGTTCTCGTCCTAAATCCAAAACACAGCACTGTTCCAGCTACTAGGGAGAAAATTAACTCCATCCCAGCCGAAACCAGGACAGATGCCCCACTGTCACAATCCTCTCCCTCTTTTCTGCAGTGATCTGCACTGCAATCCCCCCCGCCAGAGTTTGCAGCATTTCTGAGACCTGGCCGGTTGCTGTTTCCTGCCCGTTCTTACCCCGCATAGTGCTTCCCCCTCTGCCACTCCTGGGTAGGGGGCAGAGAGTGAGAAGGGAGATCTGGGGCAGCTGAACCCCACCTCCCTGCAGATTTTTGAGTTGGAGTTTTCTGGTTTAGTCAGAAAGTGTTTGTTTCCTGTGCTGAGGAAAAATTGGAATATTCAGTAGAGAAGCCAGAATCTTCTATCAAATACATATATTTTAAAATATCCCAACAGCTTCACCAGAAGTGGTTTGCAAGCATTGCTAGCAAGCAACAATTCATCACCGGTACAGTAGCAATGTCTCATTGTTTAGGAAATACAAACTGTTTTTCTTAACCCATATAATTGTTAATACTTCTAGTTTCAGGTATTTTTTCACTGGGGCCTCAAAGCTGGCTTTAAAGTAATATTTTATTTCATTTTATTCCATTTTTGTACTGATCTCCTATGAAAATTAGTAAATAATTTGCCTGCATATTTGTTTTTCTGCTCCTACCATCTTATCCCTCTGTGTGTTTTGTTTTGTTTTGTTTTTTTTCCAGTTCATAGAATGCTGTAAAAAAGGAGCCAATTTGTTAATCCAAGGACCTGATCACTGCTCCTTGTTGCACCATGCTGCCAAGACTGGGCACGGCGAGATTGTGAAATACATCCTGGAGCATGGTGAGTCACAGTGGGCAAAGCCACAGAGAGCTGTACTTCAGCCAAGTGTCAGTCAGGTAAAACACACTGTGCGGCTGGAAGTGCCCTCACTCATCTGTCGTCACCCTCAGCAAAATGTCTACCTGCAGCATGCGTGAGCAGGAGGCTAGGAATGTGGTAGCAATGACAGTGATAGCTCCTGATAAAGGGAAAGTGTGGAAACAAAAATAAAGATGGCTTTTGAGGAGGATGGATGTTTTCACAGTTGCATCAGCTGGGGGGCTGTGAAGAAGCAGTGTGATGCTCTAGTTAGAACCCCTGGCACAGGAATCCTGTAAACTAATTTGTTTTTCAATTAGAGCATATGTTGTAGAAAGCATCTGATCTCCATTAAAACATTTACAGCGATGGAGGGCCCATCCAACCATTGGTATTATTTCAGTATTTAATAACACACTGGTTAGCAATCTGTGCATTTATTTCTAGACTGGATTTGCCTAGCTTCCCTTCCAACCTTCCAATATTGTGTCTCTGTTAGATTCAAGACTACACGATAACAAAAATTTATGATCTCCATTTTATGTTTAAATTTATAGGCTGTGATCATGCCATTTCCCTTTTTTCCTTTCAACTCTTTATCTTTGTCAGTAACAGGACTGCAGGCATGCTTACACAGGCTATGCAGCAGTTTGTGTGTGTACATACGTTTGAGGCAGTCACATTTAGGAGTTTCTGCCTGTTGAACTACTGTAATCTTGTTCATGGGTTGCTGGAGAGTGGTACAGTAATATCGTCACTGCTCTGCACGCAGAGCTAAAGTCCCAGTGATCAGCCTCCTGCACTGTAGGAAACGTTTTCTAGTCCTTTAAGCATTCTTGTAACTCTTCTCTGATCCCTCTTCAAAATATCAATGGCTATTTTGACTTCTGGATGTCAAAATCAACTATATTATTTCAGCAGCAGTGTTAGCACTAAACACAGAGACTGCCTCTGGCAATTGGAATAAGTGTTAGCTAATGCTCGAAAGTTACTGCAGAAATTGTACGGAGAGAAGAAAAAAGTACAACTCATAGGAAAGGAAGAGGCAATAATCCATCTGTTAACATTTGTGTTAATTGGGGTGGGATTTAGCTCGAGCTTGACTCCTAAATTTAGGTGTTTACATATAGGTGTCATATAATCTATGGGTCTAAGTTCCTGTACTGTCAACAGGAACTTAGACTGTTCAACTGACTCAATTAATTTGCTCCTGTATGACTGAGGTACTAGAGGAGACCTGTCCTCTTTCAGTGGCAGATGGAAATGAGGAGGGCATCTTTAATAGCAGCAGACTTCTAGCATGACTAGCTCAAGGGAGACCCTAATCAAAGTAGTCATTGCAGCCCAGCAAGCGATTCAGCTGACAGTTACCTGTGCGCTTCATTCATTTAGCTAAACATAACTACCCAGTGTCATTTGTCCTTAGATATCCAGGACACCTGCATGGGTCTACAAGATAACATAAGGCCTGTAGGAGACCCATACTGGACTGGCCCATACTGGACATACAGGAGACCAAGCAAGCATCCCTGTCATTCCAAATGCATCCCAAGACCTGCCCGTAGGCATATCGAATGGCACAAAATAGCTGTGTGTGGGCAACTGAACTGTGCCCCAGATACCTGACTGAAGGGGTCTGAATTGCTACTGTACTCTTTTATGTAGAGATACCTTCACATGGGTAGCTAAGTGTAGTTGGCCTTATATCCAAATATTGGCTAGTTTTCTCCCCGATTGTAACAAGTCTTACCAGTGCTAACTCTACCTCCTATTTAACTTCTCTGGATTATCTCATTAGTCACATTGCATATACATGGCTCTGAATTCTGTAGACAGACGTAATTTCACTTAGTTTTCTTACTGCCTCTGGTCTCTTCTCACAGTGCACATGACCTGTGCCAATTCACTGTCATGGTTGCCTCTCCAGGATTTTTCTTAGGCACATATACCTTAACTTACAGTCTGAGCCAGTTACACTTCCTTTGGTGAAGGTTTAAAATGAGATCATTTAAGCTGGTAAGGATGTGAGCAGGGAATCCATGGGAATTTTTGAAGTGAATAGAGAAATGTGAGGGATTACGGACTGTTAGACAAAGACAAACCAGAAGGTTGAGCAAATGTCAGCTCAGTTCGTCTCTCCCCCCTTTATCCCCAAGGATGGCAGGAAGCTTTTGCAGCTTTCCAGACATATGTCCTCTGGGCTTCTCCAAATGCATTGTTTGTTTAACATTCTCTGGGGATCAGAGAGTGCATGGGACAGTGCTCTAATAGGGGCTTCCTCTCTTCTCCCACCAAGCAATTAATGAAACTCATTTCTACCCTGGGCACTTCTCAGTCACAAACGAGCTCTCTTGCTGAATCATCATCATCATAATGTCCTTGTTTTTCTGTTGCGTTCTCTGGCATCTGGCATCTTCTCAACATTAATTAGTGTATAAGACCCAATCCAACGCTACTAATATCTGAGGCTTTGCCTGTATCTAGCTTCTCATTTCTGCTGATATCCACCCTTGATAAAAATGGGTCTTACTCCTGTTCTAGCAATTACCTCTGCCCAGCCATACTTCCTCTGTAGTTTGTCTGCTTCCCATACATGGCTGGAGATAGTTAATATTTCCAAGAATTCCACTGCAAAATACCCTCCAGCACACAGCACAGAAAACCTGTTATTAATCACACAGGGAAAATCTTCTGAATATCTTTAAAAAACAACAACAAAACCCACCATACCAGGAATTTTAACTGCGTAGTGTGAAACGAGTGGGGTGAATCGAACATGATGCAGGAGTTGGGGAATCCCCCCCTGCCCATAGCACTGGGATTATGAAGGAGAGAAAATGGTGTAGTGATGCTGTGACTGTCCTTTATAGAGATGGCTTTATGCTTTCTGCAAACATGCAGAGGACATTAATGCAAGAGGTTATTCTGTGATCTTGATCAGAATGATTTCAGATGTTAAGGGGAGGAAAATAACCCTTCTTAAATTAGAAAAAGCAGAGATGAGTCACACAAGGAGACTGCTGTGCAGTATTGCCAGATACTTAGCAGTGGACTAGCACAAGCCTGGAATAGCAGCTGAAGCACCAATGTAGTAGGTGTCAGAACGACAGCTGCTTACTGCTGCAGAAACAGTTGTGTTGGCTGCTGTTCCTGTAAAACAGTTTCTCTCTGTCCCCTGTGCAGGAAGGGCAGATACACAGACCTATATGTTGTTCAAGACTGCCTTCCTAAATCACGGGTCTTTTGCTTGTAGTAGGAGGGTCACCTTTTAAGATCTGTCTGTAGCTGGGCTAAGGAACACTTAGCTTGAAACTGAGGGCCAAACTCAGTAGGTATCAGAACCACATCTGTTTATTGCTTCAGGCAGCAACTGTCTCACACCCTAATGCGTACATATTAGAGAAGAGTTAACTGTTTACTTGCTTAACACAAACAGAATTAGGGAAGACTTAAGAAGCTCCATTAGAAAAAGGACCTCCTAAATCATCAGCTGTATTTGGAATCAGACTTGGGTTGGAGTCTTTATCTGGCATTTCTGAACTATTTATAATTTTAACCAGTATACAAGACATTCCAAGGTTTGCCTTCTCCTTGTCTTCTCCTCTTCTCTAGAGGCTCAAAAGACAAACAAGAATTCTGTAGTTCATCTAGAGTATTTTAATTTTAAACAGAAGAGAGGAAAGAGGTTTACAGTTGCCTTAGGAGTTTGTGGTGGGAACTTCTGATGGAATGGTCAGTCAGTAGAGCATCCCATCCTGAACATATCTGTGACCTCAAACCTCGATGTCCTTGCTCCGTTATGTAGCATCCTCTGGTAAAAAAGGTGATGGTTTCATTACTCTTAGCACTGCAAAGTCAACAGTGAAGAGCAATCAGTGAGTTTGGATTTGCATCCTGACCAGATTTAGGAGTTCCAAAGAAGGCTTTTGGAAAGCAAATTTTGCCTTGAGAGAGATGTATGTCAGGGACAAAGTTTGAATAGCCATCAGAAAGCAACACTGAAGGAGAGTGAGTTTGCCTGACATATGCTAGTATGTCTAGATTTGCAGAATGTTTTAGGGTAGTGGACATTTGTGAGGGGCCTAAGCAGAAAACAGCTTAGTTTTTGTAGAAGACACACGGTATAAAATAGTCTATTTTAATTTGCAAGTTTACCAAACTTAAGGTCAACGTGGCTGGGAGACTGTTACGATGGAAGGCATGCTCCCATAACCTGACTACCCTCTATGTTACAGTGGAAATTCTGAGCTAAAAGATACTAGCAGTAAAAACCAGACACTGTTAATCTTCACATTGGGTAAAAATGAAGAGTGTGGAGTTGGGGGAAGGCTTGAAATAGGTCTGTCTTAGTAGCTACTATTCTTTTAAAAATATTTCCTCTTTGAAGGTAAGGAAACAAATCCAGTTTTGTCCCCCACATAACAACCTCAGTCAAGTTATTAGACAAAGAGAGTTTAGACAGATAAACACCCAGAAACGCTGATAATGTCTGACGTTACTGCTTAAAGCAATACCCTTCTTCCCCAGTTCTGTGAAGGACTGGCAGGGGTTAATAGCTGTATGTCTCCTGTGGGTAGCTGTAACCACATCCATTGGAGAGGGCAGGGTGTGCTGCCGGCCTGGAGGCCTTTCGGACTGCATGGTGCTGTATATTTTGGAAATGCCTCTGAAATATGGTCATTTAGTGTCTCTTTTATGTTGTAGTGAGCTCAGCTAAAGGGCAGCTGCTCTTGAGCATCTCCTTCCCTTCCCTTCCCTCCTCCCGTCCCCAGCTCAGGCTGCTTTGCCTCCTGAGAAACTGGAGAGGGGCTTTGGTGGAGTGAAAGTGGGCAGAAGGAGAGAAGGAAAAAAGTTAATAATTCTACACAGACAGTCTATCGGAGATGTTAAGGAAAGAAAGTGATCTCAGCTGGGCTTCCCCTCAGTGCGTCATGCTTTTCAGCTCCTTTCATGCGAACTTATCCCCCCCCATCCCCCTCCCATCTCCATCCTGCCATTCTTTAGCCCCCGAGTTGTTCTCTCTCTTTCTCTCTCTTTTTTTTACTCCCTCCACCTCTCCACACATTTCTATCTTTTGTTTTTATTCCCCCCCCTGCTGTTTTCCTTGATAGAAATCTCACTCATGCATTTCCCTTCCGGATTTCTATTGGGTTATTTTGTCCTCTCTCTCTCTGCGCCTTGGTCCCCTTTTCTTTCGCTGCCTCTTGTCCTGGAGTAAAACAGCTGCCTCCCCGCTGGGTCAGGATGACAGTGCCGTTAGCTTTCCCAGTGCCAGCCCTTCCCACATCTGTGCAGCTTTTGTCCCAGGGCAGAGGGGGATTTGGAATGGTCGGTTGGCAGCGCCAGGGAGACTGATGTAAAAATGAGGTCCAAAAAAGAGGGGAAAGGGAATTAGGAGGAGGGCGTGAGATGGTTTAAGAGAAGCACAAGTGAAAATAAAATAAAGAAGTAAAGGGCACAGCTCAGGCTGTGTGTGAGTTGGGACATTCCAGCTTCAGAGACAGGCCAGAAAGAATGAAACGAATGAATCCTGGTACCACGTTGTGCTGCTAATCGATTAACCCCAATATCTGGCCCTTACGTATGATGAGGATGGAGTTGGGGCACTCCCATGAAATGCTTTATTTGGGACAGTATCTGGGAGAACACCCTTTGCACACAGGGAGGATGTACGTGGCACCTCCTCAGGTCTGCACTCACAGGCTGCCTTGCTCAGTCCTCAGCACTCAGCTCCTCTGTCCTAGCCTTGCTGTTTCTTCCTACTTAAGACTGGTTTTCCTTCACCCTTGGCTTCCCATCTCCCCAGACCCCCTCTGCCCCAGCTTCTCCTCCCTCTCAGGTCATATTCTTCTAACTTCTCTCCATCCTTCCTCCTAATATTTTAACACCTTTTTCCGTTCTCCTCCACTTACCAGGGCAAGTACCTCTATGCCCAATGCAGCCAGCCCAGTCACCCTGTTCTACCTTTGCATTACAACCTTTCTTGTGCCATCCATGAACAGAAATAATAGTTTACTTGGCAGTGTCTTTTCTAACACACTGCAGGCCATTCCTGGTTACCTATCACTGGGATGTGGCATTGCAGCAAGCCATGGAGAATTGCCTCTATTTTTGAGATAACATGATTTTCTTTTCTCCTGGGAGATGTAAGGGAGTCTTTTTGTTCACCTCTTGTTTTTTTTTTCTTTTTAGTTTCTCAGGCATTATTTTTCTTTCCTCTCAATGAGGGTCCCTGCTTAGCCCCCTGTATCCTTCTTCATACTTATGGGAGCTCAGAGGTCTTGAGTGATTGTTCTTTTTGATGGGGAGGATTGAACACATAACTGCCAAGTGAGGAGATGATGTGTGGCGGTAGAGTCAGGGTGCTGTGCTTTAAAAATTGACAGTGGCTAATGAGTTTGGAGAACTGCCGTGACAGGTATGCAATGCCCTGTGCACTGGGGACTAAGCATGATACTTTTTTGACCACCCCTTTCTCATGATGACAGAAGATGAAGTGAAGGAGCTACCTGCAGGTCCTGAAGCTGAGGCAGCCGGCTGCCCCGATGATACTGCATGTGTATGTTGTAAAAGGAGTGAGGGAGAGCCAGGCTGCTCTGATCCATTTTGACACATACTTAGAGTGAAAGGAGTGTAGAGAGGTTGTGTGTAGGCCTTAGTAAGCAAGTAGTGTGAAATTCCTCAGTTTCAGGTGAGATTTGCTGTAAGCTCTTGAGGACTCTTGAATTTCAAAGTCAAAGTGTGCTGGAGAGAAATATTCATGCACAGGAAGGAAAATTCCTGTAAAGTTTCACTGTTCCCCTTGCTAACTGTCCCATACCATCTGGCACTATGCTCCAGAGCAGCGGAGACAAGAATAATAAGCCAGACTGCAAAGGGAAAAGTTTTTCTCATTTCAAATGCTATCCAGATCCTAGCCTTTCCATATCACTGTAATTCAGTGATGGAATTTGCTGCTATAAACATCTTCCTGTAATGAATATCAAGGACAAAAGAACATTAGCATAAATGCATTATTTTGTCCCACTTAACAAAAATCTTTTCTCTTTTTCTTAATCTTACTTTCCTGATCATTGCTAACCAGTAGCGTACAGGATTTGCATATCAATATAAAGACCGCTGGGAATATTCCACCCTGATCTACATTCTGTATAACGCTGTTAAATAGAGTAGCACAGGGATGTCATTCAGAATGGAATTTGGCTAATTTCAACTTCCTAATGACATTTTCCCTCTAGTACTAACAATAGATTTTAACTTGCAATATATCAGGGTTTCTAGTGTATCAGCATTTTCAATGCATTGTACTTATGTGAACCACTTAATTGAGCAAGGTAAAGAGAGAGAAAATAAACTCCATGAATATTCATTCCCAGTATAATTTAGAGGCTGCTACTCCCGGGTGCTGACACTCCAGCAGGGACTCTGCGTTCAGAATTTTGCTAGTGCAAGGGCTTGCACAAGCAAATATTACCTTGAAGGTTGGCATATTTGTGCAAATTGGGCTTTCAGTTGGCTTGTTTTACATATTTGCACAGGGAATCTTCTCCTGGTAGTCATACTCTTCCAGTCATGCAGACAAATGTTATATGACATACCTGACTCTCTTTTGCAGGTCCATCTGAATTACTGGACATGACAGACAGTGAAACGTAAGTACAACCTACCCTGCCCTTCCCATTATGTGCATTAACCTAGCAGACTTCTCTTGTTTTTCAAGTGCAAACTTTCAAATAAAAAAGCTTGTAAAATGGCACATCTTTTAAAAAACAAAAAAGCAAACAAAAGTCCCCCCAAACCCAAACAACTACCTCATTTGTGGTTTTCTGGCCTAAAACAAATGTTTCTTGAACTCCAAAAAGGACTTCCTCTCTATTGCTTCCTATGCCTCCTTAATCTTTCTAGAAGAATACAAGTCCTGCATTGTGCTTTGATGTTTCCAGACTCCAGTTACTGAGGAAGCAACCTGAAGGGTAAATTCCAGAAATCAGGAAATTACTTTTCTTGCTCTACGGCTTTTCTTCAGTGCCTTCTTTATTCATCCAGAGTGCTCTGCCTTAGCTGTCCCAAGTGGCCACAACCTGTGCAGTCGAAGATTTATCTCGAGTAGTTAGAACCTCGATCGCCTCTGTTATTACGAAAAAAAAGACTTTACTTTCCAATTCCCAACTGCTCTACATCTTGTTGTATAATCAAGGTGTCACAAATAGTATATAAGGGAAGCATGAATAATCCTGGGAAGTATATGGAATATATGGGAAGCAAAAGTAACCTTTCTCATAGTGGTTAAACCTACCGTTCCTCATCCCACAGTGCCCTCCTCTGCTAACTGAGAACACCAGAAAGGTTCTGCACAAGGTGCATGTGTGCAGTCCAGGAGTGATGGAGTATGGATGGATTGCCTGTTTCTCTTCAAGCAGTAGCATAGCACAGCCACTGAAATAAAGTGCAAGTGAACATGGCTATGAGGGCTTCCCTTTGCAAAGGTCCCTCTACCACTAACTCTTGAAAATGGGAGGTTCGAGCTGTAACTGGCAGCATGAATTTGTCTTTTGATCCTCAGGGGGAAATCAGATAGTATCCCATTCTGAATCTAGTTCTCATGCAGCAGAGACAGATTCATTACAAGGTTGCCTATTAGTATTTCAACTTGCCCTGTCATGGACTGAGGCTGAAATTCCTTTATGTTCTCTCACTTTCTGGGTAAGTAGGTGCAAGATTTGTCCTACTACATGTATTTCTTGTCATTTGTTATTTTGGAGGTTATGTAATGGCCCTACTCATTGGACACTAGTATTAAGGACACCTTTTCAACCCCCTCAAAGCATACTTTCCTCCTCTTCCTAGGCAAATCTAGATAGATTTCTTTAACCTCGGTACTACAGTCAGTCTCAGAATCCTGTTACATGTAGCCCCATTCTGAGTGAGGAACTTTGCAATAAATCTGCTCCCACTACACAGCCTTCACTTTTGAAAAGCATGTGTTCAAGCTTCCCCAGTAGCTCACCAGTCCGGCAGTGGAAAACAAAAACACAGCTCTTGCTCTCATACATCCAAGAGAGCAAGGTATCAGAACCAGGGCAGCAAGTGCACCAGTCGTGACTTTGATGGGTAGGATTTTTCTAGGATGTGTCCAAGAATGAGGTTGAGGAAAGAAACTGCAGGAAGAAACAAACACTGTTGCTGTTTTGCCTGCTGTGAAATAAGAAGGTGGCTAGTTTGCCTTTGCAGCAGTTAGCAGAACTGGTGGTTGGATGGAAACATGACATTCAGTCCTTTGAATGGATAAAACCTGTGCATGTTTGTTTCCCACCCCTCAGAAGTTCTTCATCTGCTATTTGTGCATTGCAGGCTTTCCTACTGAATCAAAGGATGTAGATGCTAAGGGAGAGAGTGCACATGTCTACCTCTGCCAGCAAGAGGGAACCTCGCAGAAATACAGCATCCTTCTCTGTCTGTCCTCTGCACCTCATACTTCGTAAACGTACATTGGTGTGATGTCTCTCACTGCTGGTTTCTGTACTTTGGTCTAGGGGTGAGACAGCGTTACATAAGGCAGCCTGCCAGCGCCATCGTGCCGTTTGCCAGCTCCTGGTGGATGCGGGAGCCTCTCTGAGAAAGACAGACTCCAAGGTAACCCAGCCCTGTCAAACAGTTATAAAATACGGCCGCCAAGCGAGACCGATCAGCATCCGTCCCTGCTGTGTGCATGATTGAGGCTTCCTCGTGTGTGCCAAGAGCAGCCCTTTTTAAACAAGCTATTTTTATTTAGAAAACTGTATTGATTTAAACAAGTACAAGAGACTTCAGTCCCCAACATGGGTCATCTTCACCATAGTGAGAGCCTGGCCTCAAACTATTCGGTGTGTTGGGTGTGAATGAGGCATCTCCACAGCACAGCAGCATCCTCCTCCTGTGTGGTCAAAAGAGAGGCCTGTGGGCAAGGACCACCTGGGGGAGCCTTGGTTTGTGATTGCATAGCATCTGTGAGGCTTGATTATTGTGGCTGATTTGCTTTGTGAGGATGGCTAACCATTTTCTTTTGCCCTCGCTTGCCCCTGTGCTCACTGATGTGACACTAACCACAACCCTCTCTCGGTGTACGCTTGGCTGAGAAAGAAGTCTGGGCAAAATTAAACTCTAGGAATATTCTGTCAATACAACAATCCGATCACTTGGGAACATGGTCCAGAAGCTGCCCCTCTGGCATTTCTGAACATAAGCATCCTGTGGTCAGCAGCTGAGAGGTGGTTGGATCTCTGGGTTCCAGAGTCAGAAGCACCTTCACTGCAGCAAGACAATTAAAAACACTTCCTACCGTGTAATGCTGCATGGGGTAGCCTATAAGGGGGAGAGAGATCATATCTTTTTCAGGTGAGAGTACTGTACATTGCAAAAGATAATTTCTGCAACAGCTGAAATCCAGACAAGTGGCTTCTGACTTGTTAATCTTCATCTGCCCAGAAATCCAAGGATCAGGAGTGTTTTTGTGGAGATACATTAACGTGTTTCCAATATTTTTTCACAGTTTAGGATTAAGACTTGGTCCAATTTAACTTAAGGTAGCTCAGATAGCGGAGTAGCAAATTGATGCACTGAAAAATGATTTGTACTTGAGATAGAATGAGACACATTGAACTCATCTCAAATGTTGGGCGTCTCTCTGCACATCCTTAGCAAAGTGTGTAGTCTGTGAAGTGCACTTTTCAATTGTTAGCTACAGTACTGTGCGTCATATTCATTCCCATAGGGACTGTAGCCCTAAAATGAAAAATCAGTTCCTTCCAGCGTGTGAGCCCTTCTGTGTGATGTATCAAATAGCATGTCCTTGCAGAACTGCATGATTTGTCCTAAATCACACAAGGACTTTGAAAATCTTCAGAATATCGTGACTCTAATCATAGAAAAACACCAACTTGTACAACAAATAAGTAAATTCTCCAAATTTGCTTCTATCCTTCTTGTAGTAATTTCTCTGGGTCGTGCTTTCATCTGTTCTTCTAAATATGTTAGCACAAGACTTTCTCTTCATGTTTCTTTATTATAGGGTAAGACCCCTCGTGACAGGGCTCAGCAAGCTGGTGACCCAGATCTGGCCTCCTACCTGGAGAGTCGACAAAACTACCAAATGGTTTCCCATGAGGATCTGGAGACAGCAGTCTGATGTCTGAAAACGTCGAAGAGGATCCTTGGAAATCGCAAGGCTGCACCTGAGGCACTTGGGCATCATGTGAGGAAGAAGCTGATGGAACCAACGTGTCTCTCACTCTCGTGGAAAATACCTGAGGACATGCCACCAGTTTCTAAGGGCTACTGAGTCTTGCCACGGAACGGTTAGGTTCCATAAGTTAGCCCATGATGGATGAGGCGGGACACTCAAAGGTCTGTGGAATCCATGGGCCACAGAAATTTACCTTTATTGCTTCCAGCAAGTAGCATGAACTTCTCCCATGTTCATCTGTACAATTTATTAAAAAAAAAAAAAAAAAAAAGGAAAGAGAAAAGAGGGTGTGGGGGAACCAAACTAACTGGGACATTAAAACACCCAGCCAGGACCTCCTCCATCCCTACAGTTTTCTGCATTCCTTTTATTCTCCCATTCCCTTCACTTCTCATCAGTTAAATAGTACCTGTTATCTCTGTGTTAAGTTTTCACAAATGGTCAGGCAGTAGCAAAAAATTTGAGGAGCTCTGGATGCCCTTAGGAAAAACCCAACGTTTTTACCAGCTGCATTACCTCCCTTGCCGTCCTCTCGGAAGCTGCGTCCTCAGTGCTCAATCACCAGGGAGTTTTCTCACTTTTGGAGAGGACTCTGCCTATTGCCTTGTTTCCCAGGGTGCAGGACATGGTTAGATTTACAGCAGTAACAAAACCTAACCTCCTCATTGTTGCTGGGTATATGGTTACAGTATCCTCATGAGACAGCCATTTGTGTGGAAAGGAGTTATATGGGATACACCACGTTGTATGGCAGAGCAGAAAGTTACCAGTAAGGTTTCTCACACCACCATTGCATGTATAATGACCAACCTGATTCTGCTCAGGTTTCGGGCCTGCCTAAAAGCTGATAGCTATTTTTTACTTTTGAAAAGATGGGTTTTACACTGGGGAGAGATCTGTGCAAGATGGAGGGGTTTCTGATGGACTGACTTATGGACCCAGTCGTCTTTGCATTACAGCCAGAGGTAGGAAGGAGACCTAGAACACCAGCGGTCAGCCTAGGCCTGCTGCCGTCAACAAACAAATGAGCACCGCCCCGGTCACACTGGGGATAGGAAAACCTTCTTTGGCTGAACCTGTAAACTATCCGATTCCCCAAGGGAACAAAGTTTCAGAGAAGCTATCCCACTGGAGAAGGACAAGCGGCAGCTCTTTGCCTTGTTACCCACTATAGGCTCGGAAACGTAAAGTTGCTTAGCTGCTGTAAAGGCCAGCTGTGTCTTCTGTACTCGTCTGTTCTCTGTCTTACCTCAAAGATTATAACCACAAAAGAAGAGAAAGCAAAAACACATACACACAGGCATACACAAAATGTTCACCTTCAGGTTTTCAATCACTACAGACAACTCAGCTGCCAGAAATAGCAGAGCTTCCACTTCCACTTTGTCTGACCCATGAAGACGCTCAGAGACCACTTTTGGCATAATTCTTGCAATAGATTTTTGAATTTTGCTTTGTTGTTTGTTTTGAAAGATCCACCGGTGTGTGTTTTCACACGCCTTGCTAGGTGTAGGTCTCTGGTAGATGGTGATCATCGGGATTACGTGCAGTTTGGAAACCATGAAAATAACTCAGGTCATTATTCAGATAAGTTTTTCTTCCTTCATAAAAGTTGTGGAAATGAAATGAATGCGATTCTTTTTTTTTTTTTTTTTTAAAACAAGAGTGATTGTTGTGGCAGAGAGGGAGGAGCTGAAAAATATATTTTTTATTTTCTTCTGTTTTCAAAAGTTCATTTGATATGAGCAAAATATTTCTTTAGTATTTCTTCCTCTGGAAGGAAACTATATATTTGTAATCTATAGATCAATGGCGACATGAAATGTATTTTGTCTTATTTTCTGTCTTTACCTTTCTTGTTTAAAAAATAAAATATGAAAGCCAAATTCCTTCCCTTGATAATCATCCAGGGGCTTGTGGCGAGGGTCAGTATGTGTATATATTAGAACAGAATTTGGCAACTGTTAAAATAAAAAATCAGAGTATAATTTTGGTGTATGTGAAATTTCCACAAGGAAGATCCTTGCGCTGTGGTTTCATGGTAGGCCTTGTATCATTTCCCAGCTGTGAGGAAAGACGTTGCTGTAAATTTCTATATATTTGATGAAAAATAAGAATTATATTAGTATCACTTTTATCTTTTTGCTTTGTTTTACTGAAGTGAGAAATGGAGGAAGCTTCAGTGACAGCAGGGGCTGGGTTCTGTCCTGTGCTGAGGCCAGACCGGTGCCTGAGCAGAAGACAGTCAGTCAGCCCGTTGCAGCTCCCTGGTCCTTTAGTCCCATGAAGCAGGTGGAGCAGTAAAGGCTTGCTCTAATCACAGGTAGCTTCCAGAGGCCGTATGTGAATTATGATAAGGGAGCTGGGTCTGGTCCCTCTCTGTCCCCAGCGGTCCTCCCCTCGGTGAGACATTCCTCGTGCCCGGGGGGTGGCTGCAGCAGGGGCTGGCTCTGGAGCAGCTTGGCAGGATGGGCAGATTTCCTGAGCTCCTTTGTGCCATTCAGACTGCTCAAAGGAGCTTAGAGCACACGAGAGAGTCTGGCTTGCCTTTTTGACCAGCAGCTGGAGTACGATGCTATGATCAGGGTGAGCCTGTTGTGCCTCTGGAAAGCTGCCCGTGCTATGTGCTCAGTAGGAGGCAGTTACTGTAGGATGAAAATAAACCCCAGCACTGGAGATAGGACAGGAGCTGGCTGTACGTAGTGCCTTTAATATTCAAGGTGTCCCAAAGCACTGCACACATGATGCATTAGATATTGACGATGTATTGTATTTGTAGATAACAGAGCATGTGTATTGTTTTCTGCAATGGCTCACACACAGCCACGAATATCAGAAGTTGGTTCACTGAGGGAAGGAATTTGGGGCCAGGATGCTGCAGGATTCTTTCTTACCCCTTTTCAAGTGCCATGGGATTCTCGATTTTGGACAGCCACCAGAAGCAGGCAGACTCTGCAGCAGTTAAAGGTGACACGTACGTATTGAAACTCTTGAGCACTTGGGCTCTAGCTTAGTACAGTATCATTTTGTTTGCACTGTGCAGGGCCCAAATTCTAGTGTGCAGCTGGGAACTTTAAATTACATGTAAAACATTTTGATTTACTAAAAGCGTCTGTTCTGTGGCTGTGTCTATTAAGTGTGTATACTACTATATATATGTATATTTATAAATATCAGTATGCATATATATAGACTCACACACACATATGGGCGCACACTTTTAGAACTGTGCCATTTGAATGACAAAGTACCTAGGGATGCTCAGCTACTGGGGTTGCTGGACTGACGAAATGTCATTTTCCATTTTAATTTGTTATTAAAGGGGACCCTTTTCAGTAGAACTGAGGAGCTCCTGAATTGTTCCATTGTACTGGATTTACTGTCTCATTTTGGAGTTAAATGGAGGGAAAGAAAATATTTATAATGTTGATAAAATAAACTTACTTTTGTTTTTAATAGCATCAGTTACTCTTATTATTTCATGTTTCAATGCTAGAGATATCTTTATGTATGACGATGTCATACATTTCTCACTAATTATAGCATCGCTCAATATTGTGAGGTGTGAGGCTGCGACTCATGTAAGACAGGAGTTCAAGGCAAATTTTGCCCGTTACAAAATGGCCCTCAGACTCCAGTGGCTCTTTCACTATTTCACGTGATGGCTTGTCTGTGTTTTAGCGCTTTCAGATGTCTGTAGATGTTTTTACTGACACCTGTCACCCTTGCTTTTCCCCAGAAGCAGTAGAATTGTTCAGTCTCAGCTTGTGGTGCCGTAGCCTGGATTCGGACTACATGAGATGTCCCCTGCTACATGAGGACTGTCATATAGAAGCGCCAAAGACATAAATGAAATAGAACAAAATTGATGTTTTGTTGCCATTGATCTTCCCAATTATATTTGCAGAGCTGGTGGTGTTGTGGATGAATAGATGGGGCAGATAGTTTTTCTGGTGGTGTGGCCATGGGAGGTTGGTTTGAGTAGTATTTAATGGCCTCTTTTGCTCATTTTTGTCTTTGTCTTTGCCGTGACAGTGACATGCATGGTCATGAAAGTCACTAACACACAACCTCACCTAGAAGGTGGCTATTTTCCTTTCAGCCATCCCAGATGCCTCCTGTGGGGTGTGCTTATGTGCTGACCCTTCCAGTATATCAAAAGCTTGTTGAGATGATCTGACTCTGGGCAAAAGCTATGAAATGGGCAAGGTACATTGGTAGCTTTAAGCTTGCTGCGGGTTTAATGGTACTCAAGAAATGTATGGACAAGCTGGGAATTTGGATGCCTTGAAAACAGTCCAAGGACAATTCTGTCCTTGCACTCCATGTACTCCAAGAAGGAAGCAGTTCTTCTTGCTGATCCATTTGAGGTCTATCACTTTCTTTCCCTCCCTTTTTGCTGCTTTTGCACCAGACTAACATCCATGGAGAAGTATTTTATAAGAATGGTGTTTAAGCTTGTTGAAAGTAATATTTCTATCTCCATTATACCTATTCTTTTCCATTCATCAGACATTATTTCCTCTCTATTTTCCTCACTGAATCTGAGCCAAAGCGACATTGAGTTATTAGCTTCCTAATTAATCTAAAACATCAAATGTGAGTATCTTAGGTCATTTCAGCAGTCCTGGTAACAGCTTATTATATACCTGTGCCTTTCTGGATACCTGTGAAGCTATAGGACACAGTATTACAGGGTTCACTGTGGTAATCTTTTCATTTGGCTTTCTTAACAACAATGTAGGCAACTATTTTTCTTAGTAAAGGATAGCTACAGCTTTAAAATCCCGTGAGCCGCCTGCCAAAATCTGTTGATTGCAACGGCAACTCAGTAGTGTGCTAAAAGTGACTTGCTAGCATATTGATGAAGACCGGAATTTTATGTGGAGTATGTGTTTTGAGCTTCAGTGCTTTAACTCCCTTTGGAAGTGCAGGATGCAGAT